TAATTTCAAGAGGGTAGTTTTGTATAATTATAAATTCGATTTGAATTTATAATTTTCTAAATTCGATTCATCATCAACCGCAAAAACTTTCATTCCAATAGGGTAGTTGCGATAAAAGCCCTGAATTTCGAGAGAGAAGCCCTGAATTTCGAGAGAGAAGCCCTGAATTTTGAGAAAGAAGCCCTGAATTTCGAGAGAAAGCAAGAGAGAGTAGCGGCGGAATATGAATCGCGAGAGACCCAGAATGCTCCTTCGATTATATACGTGTATTAGGTAGTCTAATTAGGTCGGTAAATTAGGTGTTTGGGCTGGCATGTTTTGAAATAGAGAATTCTTAACATATATTAGGCCCATTAACCATTTGTGATAGCCTATTTTAGAGCAAGTTTGGTACCACTAAAATCAGCTGATTTGGCTGATTCTGCGGAAATTTATGAAGTTATGGCTGAAGTGGCTGCATTGGCTGACTGACTGACTCAGATGATTTAAGAAAAAATTATTTTTGAAATATATTTTATTAATAAAATAAATAAAAAATTATATGTAAAATAGCTAAAATGGTCATATATAGAAACTTCTGCCAATATAGTCAGAAAAATAACTCTAACCTTACATTTTCAGCTTATTACACAATTTAGCGCGCCAAAGCAAAAAATTATGTGTTTGGTGAAAAAGTTAGCTGATAAGCCTGAAAAGCTGAAAAACATTGTTGTCAAACGGCCTCTTAATTAATAAATAAAAAAATTTACAAGGTATTTTTTGATAAATATACAAGGTTATTTTATTTATAGAAAAAAATGACATAGTTAACAATAGGAGAGAAAAAATCCAACTTACATATTAATTATATAAAAGAAAATATACAAAAAATTGTATATGTATAAATATTTGAAGTGTTTAACATTAGATTGAACTTTTTTAGAGAAGTACGTTTTCCACGAAGGTATAATTTATTTTTATCAGAAGTGACGTTATATTCACACTTAATTATTATTATTATTATTATTGTTGTTGTTGTTATTATTATTATTATTACTCTTATATAGATTTTTTCCAAAATATAGAAAATATCCATCCTCAAGGTGTAAAACACGCACGAGTTGGTGATGATAGTTCATTTGTTCCTCATAAAGGGATTTCCTTCAGAGGAATTGTTTCAGGATTCCTCAATATACCGTCTTTGGTGGATATTACAAATGGTAAAATGTTATTTCTATAAAATTTATATTCTGTTTTCTATGTCAATTTGAACTTATGTTGAAATCTCATTTTACGTGATTATTTGAAATGTTATTTATCATCAAGCTCAACGAGTTTCTGATAGAAGTGAGTCCCATTCGACCAATGACAATACCATCTTGGAATCCAAGGCAAAGTCTCCCAATATAACTCATGTAAATACTAATGAAATCGGTGAGTATTATGTAATAATGCAAATAGAAGCATACCTTCAAAATGCTATTGCGATGATTTTAATTCATTAGCATAACTATATAGGTTCGTTCAGTGGTGGAGATAATGAAATCATGCAAGACAGTAATCATCTTACACGCATCCCTCACGATGATGAATTCCTACCATCCAGTTCTACGTGTACTTCTATCAAAGAAAGTGGTTTAAGAAGATCAATTCCTTCAAGAACTTTTGATCAAGATCTTGAAGACACACCACATTCATTAGTATTAGATGAATCCGATATTGACGAAGATGACGTAGATGATGAATGTGTAGACTATGAAGAACTTCCGAGCATAACAAATGCATCGAAAGGTTTTTTTAATCCACAAACATATCATTGTGGAATTCTTTAATATAATATTCTTAAAATTTTTGAAATGCATTAAAATATTTTTATGCAGAGTATTGGGATATTGATGACCCAGTATATAGTTGTCCACATTGTGGAGCAAATTTTTGGTTTGAAGAGAGAATTGAATCAATATCTTCAAAGAAAAATCCAAAATATTCTTTGTGTTGCTCACATGGGAAAGTCCGGCTAGCGTGCATGAAAGAACCTCCTTTGGTATTATGTGACCTAATTGGCGGTGGAGACCAGAGAAGCAAACATTTTCTTGAAAATATTAGGTCATATAATAGCATGTTTGCTTTCACCTCAATGGGAGGTAAAATAGAGTGCAATATCAATAAGGGAAAATCTCCTCCGATCTTCAAGCTTCATGGTCAAAACTATCACTTGATTGGAAGTTTACTACCAATAGAGGGATCAAGGCCTAAATTTGTCCAATTATACATTTACGATACTGAAAATGAGATCGAAAATAGAATGTCATCTGTGAGGTAATTTTTTAATTCTATTGTGATTATTGAAGTTTCAATGCATTTTTTAAATTTCATATATATTCTCTTTTCAAGGAAACAATTTTATACAATTTGATTGGTAATATGTAGGGATATCAGCCAAAAAAACCAATTGCATCAGGAAATTGTCGAACAATTAAAGGACATGTTAAATGAGAACAATGTATTGGTAAAAAGTTTTCGCATGGCTAAGGAAAAGTTGCATCAAAATGTTGATTCCAATGTACAATTGAAGCTTATTGGTAAGCGCAATAGTGATGCGAGAACTTACAATCTACCATCTGTTTCCGAGGTAGCGGCATTAGTTGTTGGAGACTTTGATGAATCTCTTGGGGAAAGAGACATTTTGGTACAGACTCGGACGGGAAAGTTGCAGCGAATCAATGAGCTTCATCCAGCATATTTTGGATTGCAATATCCTTTGTTATTCCCGTATGGTGAAGATGGATACAGAGAAGATATCCCACTCACAACTTCAAATACAGTTGCAGGAACTGGAAGATGGAGAGTTAGCATCCGTGAATTTTTGGCATATCATTTACAACAAAGGATCACCAAAGTTTCTCATATTTTGAAAACAAAGCGCCTTTTGCGACAATTTATTGTCGATGGCTACACCATGATTGAGTCTGCTAGACTACAATTTATAAGAACTCATCAAAAGCAATTGCGTTGCGAAATGTATAAAGGGTTGAGTGACGCACTCTTGCGGGGAGAGAATGATCCATGCACACAAGGAAAAAGAATAATTTTGCCTCCAACATTTACACGCGGTGCCCGTTTTATGATTCAAAATTATCAAGATGCAATGGCAATTTGCAGATGGGCGGGATACCCAGATTTGTTTATTACGTTCACATGCAATCCTAAATGGCCTGAGATTACAAGATTTTTGAAAAAACATAACTTGCAGCCGGAAGATCGACCAGATATTGTAAGTCGTGTATTCAAAGTGAAGCTTGATTCTTTGATAAAGGATTTCCGTCGCAACAAAATTTTTGGTGATGTTAGAGCAGGTATGTTGATTCAATATAATGTGTAATATATTTTTTTGTGATTGTTTTTAATACATATTAAAATTTTTACAGTTGTGTATACAATCGAGTTCCAGAAACGTGGTTTGCCCCATGCACACATATTGTTATTTTTGGAGAACAATTCTAAATTTCCAACCGTTAGCGACGTTGATAGAATTATCTCGACAGAGATTCCTGATCGCAGAGTTGATCCCGACTACTACGAGGCCGTTAAGGATCTTATGATGCATGGTCCCTGTGGTGTAGGTGTTAGTTTCTCTCCATGCATGGTTGATGGAAAGTGCTCAAAACACTTTCCAAAAAAGTGGTCTAACGAAACGACAGTTGATGGTGATGGGTACCCCATTTATAGACGAAGAAATGATGGGCGAAGGGTTTTAAAGAATAATGTTTTGTTAGATAACAGATTCGTAGTACCACACAATCGTTTTTTATTGATGAAGTATAGAGCACACATGAATGTTGAGTGGTGCAATCAATCTCGATCAATTAAGTATTTGTTTAAGTACATTAACAAAGGGCGAGATCGAGTTACGGCAGGGTTTTGCAATACCTTTAATGACCAAGATGCCAATAATGTCGTTGATGAGATCAAAATATATTACGATTGTAGATATATCTCTCCCTGTGAAGCAGCATGGCGCATTTTTGGTTTTGAAATCCAGTATAAAAATCCTGCTGTGGAACGTCTTAGTTTTCACTTCCCAGAAGAACAAACCATCATTTTTTCTGATAATGATAGTATTGATGCAGTTCTTGGACGAAAAAGTGTAAAAGATAGTATGTTCTTGGGTTGGTTGGAGGCAAACAAGAAGTTTCCAGAAGCAAGGGAATTGACATACGCAGAATTTCCTCAGAAGTTTGTCTGGAAGAAAAATATGAGGGAATGGGTGCCAAGAAAAGTTGCATTTGCTATCGGAAGAGTCTATTATGTTCCACCAGGAAGCGGTGAGTCATATTATCTAAGATGTCTACTTAATCATATTCGTGGACCGACATGTTTTGAAGATTTGAGAACTATCGATGGTGTGTTGTATAATACCTATCGAGAAGCTTGCTACGCTCTTGGGTTATTGGATGATGATAAGGAGTATATTGATGGCATTTCAGAAGCAAGTATGTGGGCTTCTGCTCTATCTTTGAGAATTTTATTTGTCGTGTTATTATTATCCGAATCACTGAGCAGGCCATATTATGTTTGGGAAAAATGTTGGAAATATTTGGCAGACGACATACAATATAAACACCGTTTGATATTTCAACACCCTGGTAATTGGAATATGATTTTTGTATTTTTTAAAAAAGTTATGAGTTTATATAGATTTTTTTGAATAACTAACTTCTAAAGTTTAAAAATTATGCAGATTTGGTATTAAGTGATGATGAATTGCAAAAGTATACTTTAATTGAGCTTGAGTATTTGTTGCAAAGTCATGGTAACAGTCTGCGTGACTATCCACCAATGCATGTTCCTCCCGTAGATTCTACATCGTATTCTTATAACAGACTCATCCATGAAGAGATGCAATATGATCGTGATGCTTTGTTTGAAGAACATCAGGAGTTGTTCAGAAATTTAACTCATGAACAACATCAGATTTATGATAAAATAATGGAGGCAATCGACAAAAAACAAGGAGGCGTGTTTTTTGTATATGGATATGGTGGTACAGGGAAGACATTTGTGTGGAGAACACTTTCTGCTGCTATTCGTTCTAGAGGTGAAATTGTTATTAATGTGGCTTCAAGTGGCATTGCTTCATTATTGCTTCCAGGAGGACGAACAGCTCATTCACGTTTTGCCATACCACTATCATTGAATGAGGATTCAACATGCAACATCAAGCAAGGTAGTCCTATTGCACGTCTCATTGAAAAATCCAAACTCATCATTTGGGATGAAGCACCGATGCTCCACAAATACTGCTTTGAGGCTCTAGATAGAAGTATGCGTGATATTATGCGATTCTCATGTCCAAACAGCCTCCACATGCCTTTCGGAGGGAAAACTATTGTATTTGGAGGAGACTTTCGTCAAGTGTTACCTGTTATTCCTCAAGGTAGTCGACAAGATATTGTTAATGCTACAATAAATTCTTCATATTTGTGGAGCAATTGTGATGTTTTAAGATTGACTAAAAATATGAGATTGCAAGGTCCAAGCAATTCAGATGAATATGAAGCAATAAAAAGCTTTTCCGAGTGGATTACCTCTATTGGAGATGGTGTTGCTGGAGGACCAAATGATGGTTGTGTGTCTATTGAAATACCAGAAGATTTTCTTTTACACACTTCAGGAGATCCAATAGCAAAAATTATTGAGAGCACTTATCCAGAATATCCAAATATTTTGGATGATTTCAGTTATTTCCGAGATAGGGCTATTTTAGCCCCATCATTAAGCGTTGTGGATGAAATAAATGACTATATGATTTCTTTAAACACTTCACAGCCTTCAAGAACATATTTCAGTTCTGATAGTGTTTGTAAATCAGATTCTAATGTTGATCTTTTAGCAGATTTGCATACACCAGAATTCTTAAATAATATTCGTATCTCAGGTGTGCCCAATCATGAACTCACATTGAAAGTTGGAACTCCAGTCATGCTTTTGCGTAACATAGATCATTCTATGGGGTTGTGCAATGGAACGAGACTCATTATTACAAGACTTGGTGACCACATATTGGAGGCAAAGGTTTTGACAGGAAGAAGTATGGGGCAACAAGTATTGATTCCGAGATTGTCATTGACTCCTTCGGATGTGAGACTTCCTTTTAAATTTCAAAGAAGGCAATTCCCGATCATGGTTGCTTATGCTATGACTATAAATAAAAGTCAAGGGCAATCTCTTTCGCATGTTGGTTTATTGTTAAAGAAGCCGGTTTTTTGTCATGGACAATTGTATGTAGCAGTTTCCAGGGTCACGAGTCCAAAAGGATTGAAGATTTTAATCATAGGTGATAATAATGAAAGCACAAACAAGACCACTAATGTCGTATATAAGGAAGTGTTTCAGAATGTATGATTTATATACATACTTAATTGTGGTTATCACAAAAAATATTGTTATAATGTTTTGTTAAGTGTGAAAATGAGATCTTCTTTTATTATCGTGACATTTTCCCTGCTCTTCTTTGCTATTATTGCGTGCAAGTTATGTTAATTATACTATAATTATATTTTGAATTTTTTTATCGTTATCCGAGAAAATTGTTTATTTGTATTTTATGAAAATTTGCGTGTTACACTTATACAAAATTTCCCCCCGTGCAACGCACGGGTGAAATACTAGTTCAAGTCTAAAATACGGTCTGGGATGAGTTGTATGACGGTTGGAAGGGGGCTTCGGATAAAACGGGACCCTGTGAAACACTAAAAATTGGGCTTTCTATTGTGATACAAGTAGAAATATAACATACAAAACACCAATCATGATTGCTTGTTAATAACTAATGTTGAAATAGAAGTTACTAGATTTGATGATTTGAATTTGAATATTTGATAATTTTCTAAATTCGATTATAAATTTGTATCTAATAAGTACTCAAGTACTCAACTCATTAAGAGAAACCCCTAACATGGTCTTTTGCTATTGTGTGTTAGAAGCTTTTCCAGCTTAATGGAGTAAATAGACTAAGATGCGTGATTGAAATTTGAGTCTCCTAGCCTTATTTCGTGATTAGCTGGTTTAATTAATTTTCTTATTTATTACTAATTCAATGGTTTTGGGCTGGTGCTATGGGCTATATTTGTTGGGAAATGGGAATTCTTTAGGGGATTTATCACAAGCAGGCTAAAAAGTGAAAATAATATCACTTTTCTCAACTTTCAAAGCTGCTTTCAAAAATAGATTATTTAAGTTTTCTTTTCAATTATAGACTTTAAGTCTAAAACCTACATTATACGCGAACAAATACTCCATAGATAGCAGACCTTTGTAATTGCTACATGTCTACGTCTGTACTCTAAAATTGTAAAACCAAGTACTCCGTATTAAACTTTTATACACTATCACAATTGAAAACTAAAAAGCAATAATAATGAAAACTATAAAAAAGATTTTCTCTATGTAAACATGGTATAAAATGAAAAAAAAAATCTAAATGTTATAAAAACTTGAAAACTTATAAACTTCGAATATTATTAAAAAAATCAAAAGGCAAAAGGCAAAAGGCATAAAAGCATACAAAGGTTTATAAAAATAGGAAAATAGGAAAATTTAAGTCCTTTATTTGGTGTTTGAAAATGGTAAGCTTCAAAATATATACCCCATCCGTCCTAAATTGTTTTGAAAAGTCAACATTTTTTGGTCAACTAAAAATAAAAGTCAATCCTCCTTATTGATAATTAATTCAGTTTTTAATAATTAAAATTTACATATTCAGATGCTACATTAAAATTTCTTCAAAGTTGTAAAATCCAAATTAGAATATAATTAAAAAATGACATCCTAATTCAATTAATAAAATGAAACTGTTTGACCAAAAAAAGACAAATTTGCAAATCAATTTTGGACAAAGGTAGCGTTGTGTATATTAAAATAAATATGGTTAAAACTAAAAAGAGTAATAATTTGTAAATCTAAACAATCTAATATCGTATGAATTATTAAAAATACGGATTATAAACTAAAATATAAAACATACTAAAATAATAAGAAGTTTTTAAAAGAGTGGAAAACTATAAAAATTGAAAACAAGATGCATGAAAATTCCAGCAAAAAATAAATAATACGGGAAAAATATAAAAATTGAGTAAAAATTAAAGTATTGTAGACAATAATGATACGGAGTATAAAAAACATAAATTTGAAAATGAAAATAAATAAAATGTGGAATATTCTTAAAATGGTTAATATTGTAAAAAATTACAAAAAACGATTTTTTTAATTTTTATGTCCTTTTCTAATATTTATAAAGGTAATATTATCATCATGCCATTTATTTTAGTTTTTGTTGCATGTGATTTCTTTGTGTTTGTTTTTGTTTATTAATCTGTAAATTTTGTTTATAATTGTTTATTTGTGTTTCTTGATTTCATTATGTTTCACAAACCCAAATTTATTATTATAGGTAATTATATGTATGTGTTGGTTTTTATTTCAAAGTAGAAAAAATAAATTGGAACCTAAATAAATAAAAAACTCAACAATAAATAACAAAAAAAATACAATGCAACAAAGTACAACATAGTGCAACGAAATGCAACATGGTGCAACAAAATGTTTCACCGACTCTATGCTACACTTCGAATGGATATTCAGATGAGAAAAAATGTTTCGCTAAATCCACATATACTCTGCAAAAATAGCAATCTATCGTTCAGTTTTACAACTATGGATGTGTATGCACACACCCAAATATCAAATTACTACATATAAATTGAATCATAAATAAAAATAAACAATAGAAACATATAGTTAAAAGTGATAAACAAGAAGCAGCACGATGCAACCAAAAGATACGTACAAAATGTAACAAAAAGCAACAAAAAGCAACAAAAGCAACAAAAAGAAACAAAAAGAAACAAGACAAAAGAAAAAACAACATTACATGAGTGAACGAGATTAACCAAATCAAACACACCAAACGCCATTCGTTGAAGGTTCTACCCGGCCAACAAATCATATTCATGAGTGAATGAAATTAGCATAGCTAAGCATGTCATCAAATTTCAAATGAAACGTGTTCATGTTAATTACGTTGATCTGGTAAGTTATGGGAGGATGGCATATTGAAGCTACTCTTTCAAAGATTTGAATGGTTTTATCTAGACCACAATTAAATTATTTCAGATGAGATCAAACCATAAATCTCATCCCAAAGAATACATCCCTAGGAAAACTTTTGATTTTAAGGTCATAACCTCATCCTCCTACAAAACAACCATCACAGCCCTTGATAGCTTTTGATATCCTCAGTGCTATATTGATAGCTTATGCTGACTAGCTTTCCCTCTCCAAAAGAGCTCGTAGAAGCTGTCGTTATCCGTGTCGACGAGTGTTTGATTCGCCCTGCAGAACACGAAATCAAGGTTGCCTCTGTGTCTCTCCACCTCCTCTGATCTCGTCCATGGCCTCAAGTTTCAAGAATTTTGCCAGTTGGTGTCTCAGACGGAGGAGTCGACAACCTTCACGAAGTGTGGTGTAGTTCTTTGAAGTGCAGACAAAGTAGGAGCACATGATCCAATAGATAAGAAATTCTTACATATTTAGCGGAATTAACCTTATGTAGTTAATTAGGGAAGCAAAATCCTTGTTCGTCTCTGCTTTTTCCTCCACTTCCGACGGAAGAAGGTTCTGAATTCTCGATGGTTAATTATAAAAATAGCGGATACTGGAGGATACTGTGGTTGTCATACCTCATGCCTCACCATCAGGATGCTTGATGATTATCGATCTGACAATGATGAGCATCTTCTGATTGTTTTGACAAGGAAAGGAAAAGAGTGGTGAGCTGCGGAGGACCTGAGAATAGAAACAGATTAAGATGTGTGCATATACGAATCTGGACTTTTTTTGACTATTTTTGAAATAAAAATGTTAAACTGAAAAAGTGAAAGTTAAAATTGAAAGAAAAAAACTTTTGGGACATAAACGAAATACACGGTGAAAAGTTATCCTAACAGGTAATTTCCACAATTCTTTATGACTATGAGTTAATCGAATCAGGATGGACCCGTATGGGGCCATGGGCCGCTGTTTTATGACTTTTGCCGTCTTTCCCATTGTGTTGAACGTGGGCTGCCTATAACAATACTACTATTATTTTTTTGGCCTTCATTTTTTTGGGACCTGTGCGATTGGGCTGCCTACCCTTGCTATGGGTCGGCCCTGACGATCATAGCGGTGGTGGTTGTCACTAGCCAGGCGTGGTGATCACTATGGACGACGGCAGTAACAATCTCTATGGCGGGGTGGTGGTGATTGTCAGCAACGATGGCATTGATTACTATGATAGGCGGTGGTTACTGTTTGGGTGATCATTGAGGTGGTAGTCACTATGTCGAGTTAAGTCACTATCATATAAAGTCACTAGGGTTAATTTAGCAAGTCTAATGCTTATTAATCACATTTTTTGAAATTAAAAAAAAAAAGAAGACCGGTAGAGTATATGGGCCTGAACTCATGGCCCACATACTCTTGGACTTACAGACGACTTAAATCAACGCCACAGCCAGAAGGTCCACCTAGAGACTTAGTCCAGAATGAAGAGGCGGACTTTTTGTTCGTACCACCTAGAGACTTAGTCCAAAATTGCATGGACCGACTGCTTCTCCATAACAAAGAAGCGCGGACAGTTTAGTGAGCAATTTTGCTTTATTCCATCATAATCTCAAGCCAAAAAATAATGAATCTTTGGCTCCATTGCAAATAATGGAAATGTTTAACTGCGCAATTATTTTCAAAAATTCATTTCACTGCCTTCCCGTTTGAATTTTGAGCCGAAGCTCAGACGCTTATTTGACCCCTTGAGTGCTCACATTAGACGCACAGCTCGTACATTACCTACTGATCTGGCGTTGGCAGTGACGTATCCAGAAAATTCGGCCAGTGGGGGCAAATTTAAACTAATGTTATAAAAAAAAATTAGGAAAGAAATATTTATTAAAAAATCCACAGTATATTAAAAATAAAATAATTTTATATAAGACATAGATGAAATATTTAATTATAAGTTTATAACTAATTTAAGTTACAAATAAACAAGTGTGTTTTAATGATAAGTGGAAAAAGATGTGATTGAAATTACATTAAAATAAATTATTTTAAACTAATTTGGATCGTAGGTTTAGACATTCTATAGTTTATTAAATACAAAACCAAATATATATATATATATATATAAGAAATGGATAAAATATGTAATTATAAGTGATTTAAGTTAAAATGAAACAAGTTTTAATATTAAGTGGGGAAAAATAATTAAAATACTCTAAACTTTGAATGGGTGTGATGTAAGCACCCC